GAGCCAACCTGCCAAATACCAGGCGTCCCCGTCCGCACCCTCGGTGGCCCTTCACAGGGAAAGCTATTCGCCCGTTTTTCAGATGCCCGACCAAGGCGCGGGGAGGGGCAGAGGGTGGTCCCGGGACCCCAGGGCACGAGGACTTGTCCCCTCAACCCCTCGCGGCCCCTGCGCTCTACTCACCAGCCCAGATGCTGAGGCTGACTGCCAGCGCCAGGCGCGGCGTGCGGCGGTGCAGGGCGCGCAGCGGGAACACCGTCACGTACCAGCGGTCCACGCTCATGGCCGTCAGAGTGGCGCACGTGGCCTGCACCGAGACCTGGAAAAGCGGGAGCCGGGCGTGTGGCCACCTGCCCGGTTTGGAGCCTGCCCTGTCCAGCCATCTTGCCGGTCCCCCCACGTGTCTGACCAGTCAGGCACACACGGAATGTTTCCCAGGAGGGGTGTCCAGGGGCCACGGGTGGAGGGGGCAGGAGGGGTGGGGACTTGGGAGAGGAGCCCAGGAGGTGGGAGGAGCCACTTGGGTGGGCCGATACCCCGAGTCTGAGACAGGGAGAGACAGAGCCGTCCTGGGATGAAGGAACAGACGTAGCAGGAAGCTGCGCGCCCCGGTCGCCTTCCCTGGGTCCTCCTGCACCCGCCCCCACCCCCGTGACCCCGGGTTTCCCTCTGTGTCCCTCCTCATTGCCCCCCACTTCCCGCTCCCCACTCCGGTCCAGGCTCCAGCCGCGCCACCCAGACTGGGTGCGCCGCTGCTGCGTCCCCCGGCCCCAGCCCCAGGCTCTCCTCCCCTCGCCCCACGCTAGGTCCAGCCACGGCCACTCCCAGACTCTGCCTGCGCCCCGCCCAGGGTCCCCACCTTCACCCCCAGACCCTGTCCCCCAGCCCGCGCACCTGTTGGATGTAGTTGACGAACTTGCACATGAAGTCACCCAGCGCCCAGGCGGGCAGCGGGTACAGCAGGGCCGTGAAGGGTACGCAGCACAGCAGGAAGGTCACGTCTGTGACCGCCAGGTTGGCTGCAGGGGGGTGCGCGGGGCTGGACGAGGGGCGCCGCGGGCCGCAGAATCGCGCAGCGCTCTTGGCCCAGCCCTGCGCCCCACCCGAGCGACCAGCAGATCGGCTCCCCGAAGGCCCCCAGAGCGCGCTGACACCCTCAGGCGGAGAAGTTGGGCACCCCCGAGCATCCCCCCTTCCATCGCAAACACCCCTACTGCACGGGCTGCGTGGCCTTCCCGGTGGCGCTGGGTCCTGCTCTCCCCTGCCCCAGCCGCGTCAGCCCGAGCGGGCCCTGCCCCTCTCCGGCTCGGTTTCCTCCCCTGCGAACTGGAGACGGTGGTGCGGGGCCCAAGGCCACTGCAGAGCAGCCACAGGGCGGAGGTCGCAAACTGAGACCCGCGGACAAGGCAGTCCCTGCCCCCACCCCTTCTGTCCAGCGGACACCGTGTCACAGAACCGCATCACACCAGGACATCTTCCGTGAGTGGCAGGCCAAGGTCTCCAACCTCTGGCCGGCGTGGGACCTCCCACGCTGGAGTTCGCGAGCCCTACCAGAAGGTACCGGGAGGTTAGGGAAAGGACGCGCGACCCCCGGAATGGCAGGCAGGTGCGGGCCCGCGCCCGCCCGGGCACTCACCAATGTAGAAGTTGGTCACCGTCCGCATCTGCTTGTGGCGGCAGATGACGTAGATGACTAGCGAGTTCCCTGCCAGGCCGAGCAACATCAGCGCAGCGAAGAAGAGAGGCACGAGCCAGGCGTCCACCGGCCGCGGCACGGGGGCCAGGCCGTCCGAGGCGTTGGCGCCGCAGCCCGGGCAGCCCGAAGCGTTGCCCGGCGCCCACCAGGACGCATTGGGCGCCGACGTCGCCACGGCGTGCATGGCTTCGCCGACCTCCTCCTCCCGGCCGCCCTCCAGGATTGCGCTTTGGGACGGACGCGGGGACCTTCCTCCCGGCCACCTGCCGGAGATGCGCTCGCGGAGCTCAGCAAGGGTCTTGGCTGGTGGCGCCCGGGTCCGGAGGGCGGCTTGGCTGGAATCCGAGGCTCCTCTGCTTGCGCCGCGGCAGCCGCGCGTTTATACCCCGCGCCCCCTCGTCCCCGCCTTCCCGCCTCTCCAGCAGCCGCCGCCACTCCCCGCCCCGCCTGTGCGCCCTCCACTCCTGCGCGCCGCAGCCCCTCCCCCGTCCCTCCTCTCGGGTGCGCGGTCGGGGCGACGGTGCGGGAGGGGCGGGCTGAGGCGGGGTGGGCTGCGCGGAGGCTGCCGTGGACCCTGCGAGGGCGGATCTTAGCACGCGGGTAGAGGCCGCCAGGCGCACCAAGCCGTCCAGGCAAAGGCGCAAAAACAAAGGCTTGTTAGTGGCACGGACTTTGATCTTCCAAGGGACTGGGGCTCCGGGGGGCGGGACTGGGGCTCCGGGTGGGCGGGCCCAGGCTGGAGGGGAGACGAGCCCTTGGCGGAAGGTTTAGGACCCTGAGTGAGGGTACCTAGGGTTTGTCCCCAAGACGCTGAGGAGCCACAGAAGGTTATGGGAAGGGGAGAGATGGTTTTGGACTGAATGTTGCAAACTAGACCCCTAGGGCTGCGGTCCCCAACCCCTGGGCTGGGGACGGCTCCATGGCCTGTTAGGGACCGGCTGCAGAGCTCCGCCCATGTCCGTGGAAAAATTGTCTTCCATGAAACTTAGGAAGGGGGTGCACACGGCAGGAAGCGAGTGAGATGAAACCGGTCCCTGGTGCCAAAAAGGTTGGGGACAGCTGCCCTAGGCATGTCCGCGTCCCACCTGACTGGCAGGGAGTGGCTGATACCTGTGGAGCCCTGGACGCAGGTGCCACTGGCTGCAGGAACCAGGTGGACTGCAATTTACAAAGGCCACAGCCTTGACCCCACAATCCCTCACCTGGAAAGGTACCCCAGAAACACGCCTAGGAGGCCGGGTGCAGTCCATCGTGCAACGGGGTCCGGGATGTTCCGGCCTCGCGGAGTACAATGCAGCAGAGAAAAAGGCACTGCCGCATGTGTTATTGTCTCTCTCTCTTCTTTTTTTTTTTTTTTTCTGAGACAGGGTCTCACTCCGTCAGCCAGGCTGGAGTGCAGCGATGCGATCGCAGCTCACCACAGCCTCGAACTCCGGGGCTCAAGTGATCCTCCTGCCCCAGCCTCCCGAGTAGCTAGGATTACAGGCTTGCACCACTATACCCAACTAATTTTTCTATTTTCTGTAGAGATGGGGTCTCGCTATGTTGCCCAGTCTAGCCTTGAATCTCGAACTCCTGGGCTCAAGCCATCCTCCCACCTCAGCCTCCCAAAGTGCTGGGATTACAGGTGTGAGCGACCATGTCCTGCCTAAAAATTATTCTTGAGGATGGTTCACAAAATCACAAAAGGGAGGAAAAATCCCTTTGGGGCAACAATGAGGGATGGGTTAGGATGAGGAGACAGGAGGGGTACTAGGTAGGGGCTGGAGAACTGTTTTGAGGAAACTGCTGAGTCTAACTGGCTTGGGAGTGGACCCCGCAGGTGGCTGGACCTTCCAGTTTGGGGGGTGTCTGTGGAGCAGCAGCAGCTTGTGCGCAGGCCAAGGCGAGGGGAACTAGGAGTTTGGGGGCCTAGGAAGGTGTTAAGAAGGCTCAGGACAGGTCCCCTGGGAATGAAGTCAGAGAATGGGAGCAGGGCCCGCTAAGGCCTCTGGAAGTGACTCCTGCTTTCTGGGTTCATGTCCGTTTATGGAGCTGCTACCACGCCCCAGATCAGGAAACCGAACATCCTCAACCCCCAACCCCCACCCCAGGCACTCCCCCTAGAGGCGCCCTCTCCACCCAATTGGTATCACCATTGATTTCTTTTGCTTCTTTTCACATTTATTTCTACACAAAGTCTCACAATATGCGCACTTTTGAGTCTTTTAATAGTTTCTCTTCCTTTTTTTCTTTTTCCTGCTTGCTCTTTATTTGTTAAGGCAACCAGGTCCTCTGTCCTGTACAGTTCCCACCAGGCTGGACTTGGCAGATTGCATCCCTGTGTGTTAATATGGTCCTCAATGCCCTGCACTTCTTGTGGATGGAAGGGGGGATTCCAGATTCTAGAGTGTATTTGATTTTCTGCTCTAAACCCTCCCATGGCTTCCCGGTACCCTCAGGACAAGAAAACCCAGACCTATCATCATAGGGCACCAAGTTACCCACCCTACTCTGGTCACTCTGGGTGCCCCCACCCCCGCCCCCGGACCTTGCAGAGGCTGTTCCCTCTGCTTCATACACGCTTCCCGTTTCACCGGGAAGCTTCTGCAGCTCGCCAGTCCCCCTCTCAGAGGCCTTCCCTGACCGCTAAAGCCTCTACCCCACCCCATCCAGTGGGGCAGGGGTCTGTCTTGGTCACTGCTGGGTCCCCGGCGCCTGCCCAGTCCACAGTGGGCATTTGTTGATGAATAAACCCTAAAGCGCGGAGAGGGGGTGGGGGCTGATGTCGTCCTATTTTTAGAGACGAGTAAACTGGGGCTGCCCAGCCAGCGCTGCAGGGATGGCCCCCAGTGAGGACTGCAGGGGTCTGGTGGAAGGAGCCCCTCCCCGGTGGTGATGGTTTCAGCCATCCCGGGCCTCCAAAAAGGCCTCCCTCCCTCTCTCCCCACTACCAAGGCCTCAGTTTCCCCGTCTGTCCGCCCATCCCTCGGTTCCCGGTTGGGTCCAGGCGCGGGGATGGCGGTCCAGTCCCCGCCTCCTAGCCTCAGTTTCCCCGCCTGTTCTTCCCCCTGGGCTACATTTCCGGGTGTAGGGCTCACGGCCGGATCTCCACCCCACCCCTGTCTCAGTTTCCCCGTCTGTGCCTCCGCGGCTGCATTCCCTGTTCCCCGCCCCCGCCCCAGCCTCAGTTTCCCCTTTTGTCCACCGGGGCTGAGCTCCGCCCCAGCCCGCCGCGGGCCCGGGCGCAGGGATCGTGGCGGCCCCCGCCCGGCGCGTCCAGCCTCCAGGCCCCGCCCCGGCCCGCCCCTGGGCGGCCGTCACTTCCTGCCCGGCCCGGTGAAGGCCCTGCCGGGCGGCGGCGACGGCAGCGGCGTCCGAGCCATGGTAGCTCTGGAGGACCCGGAGGGCGGCCCGGAGGTGGCGACGGCGGAGGGCGCCCCGGGCGGGCGGCGGCTGCTGTGAGCGCGGGCGGGCCGGGCGGGCGCCGCGGGTCTCGGGCCTCCCCTGCCTCCCCTGCCTCCCCTGCCGCCCGCTGCGCTGCGCAGGCTGGGCGGGGGCTTTATGGGCATGTGGTCACCCAGGTGTTCCACCGCCTGCGTGCTGGGTGTTCGCGGGGCGCGGGGACGCACCCCGCTCGTGCCTCCACTTACCCCGGTCCCGAGGGCTCGCCTGCCAGGGCTCCCGCCCGGGGTTCCGCGTCCCTTTCCGCCCGTGCGAAGTGCCCCAGGCCCGGGGAGCTGCGGGCGCGCTGGGGGTCCGCCCGCCTGGGGTCCTGCGCTCGCGTCCCCTGCGCACCGTCCGGGTTTATCCGAGCCCCCGCCGCCCCACCTGTCTGGGTAGTCAGGGCCCTCGGTTTTCCTCTGGGTGAATGCCCAGTTAGGCTGGGGCGGGGCGCTTAAACCCGGGGAGAACAGGGGCCCGTCTGTGCTCGCAGTGGGACCCGGAAGCGCCGGTGTGTGGCCCGGTGTTTACGCGGACACCTCTGCGCTCGCCCGCGGGGTCCGCCTCGCGCGCGGAGGGGCCACCGTCTGTGGGGGATGAGGAGGTGGCTTGCGTTCCATTTCTGTCCCCTTCGTGTGCCCGCGGTGCCACCTGGGCAGGGTCGTCCCGCCCTTCCGTGCCTCGGTTTCCCCATCTGTAAAATGCGCCAGTCACACTTGTCTCTTTTCAGAGTGATTGAGGGTCAGCGTTACCTGGCACTCGCAGGTGCCCAGCAAACGGGAGCGACCATCCTTTAATTATTGTTTTAAATTATTATCTTATATGTCTTAGTTACGTTAGCAGTATTTTAAAGTGATTTTATCATTGCGCTTTCTATGTCGTTATTATTACTGTCGTTATGTTTAGTAGCACCTTGTCGGTACCTGGGTATTTGCCCACAGGCCACACAGGGCTGTTTATCTGAAGGAGAGAAGGTGCCTCTTTCAAGGGGACACTTCCCCACCAAATGGGCTCCTCCCCCATCTTCTTAGAACCAGGTGTAGATATTTGGTGTGTGAATATGTAAATACATCCGTACTTGCTTTCCCCTCCAAGAGCCCTTCTCACCCCAATTCTTTTTCTTTTTTTTGAGACGGGGTCTCGTTCTGTCGCCTAGGCTGGAGTGCAGTGGTGCAATCACAGCTCACTGCAGCCTCCAACTCCTGGGCTCGAGCCATCCTCCTGTCTCAGCCTCCTGAGTAACTGGGACTACAGGTGCTACCACCACGCCTGGCTAAGATTTCTATTTTTAGTAGAGATGGGGTCTTGCTATGTTGCCCAGGCTGGTCTCGAGCTCCTGGGCTCAAGTGATCCTCCCAACTCGGCCTCCTAAAGCACTGGGATTACAGGCTTGAGACATTGCATCTGTCCAGCCTCACCCCAAATTTATGCCTCACCTCCCCCCAGACCTTCCCCTTCCCTCACTTCTCGGGTGTTTATTTACCTGCTGGCCACTCCTTTCCCTCCCCATCCTGGTTGGGGGCTGGGGACTGCTGGGGGCCCCCCCAGTCTGCCCCTCCCCAAGCTGAGTCACCTCCGCCCTGAGCCCTGGGTTTCCTGCTGGGGAAGTGACCTCCTCTCCTTCGGGTTCCTGGGGGAGGGGGCCGGTGCCGGGCCCAGGGGAGTGGGGCTCAGAAGGTCCCTTTTCACAGTCTGCAGGGAGTAGAATTGGGGGCGACCAAGAGGCCTGTTCTACCCAAACCGGCTTAGCAGCTTCCACAGTGAGGACAGTCCACTCTCAGTGGGCACTGGTAACTTCTACCATGTAAACATCTCTGGGGTCCTGCCGGGTGCAGGAAGCCTCAGCCCCCCTCTCTGGATCCTCAGTTTCCCCATTGGTAAAGTGATCTTGTTGGGTGGCAGGAGAAGCAGATGAACTAGCCCTTGGTCGAGTGTGTAAACAGAAGTTTAGTTATTCATTCAACAAACACACTGTGGGCTGGATGCTGAGCATTCACTGCCTCAGAGGTCTGGTGAGGCAGTGATTAAGGGGCAACCGAGTAAAGGGGCCAGCTGGTTGCAGGAGCTGCGAGATTGGGCTAGGTGGGGGTTGGGCGATGACAGGGGAGCCAGAGGAAGACTGCTACAGGGCCAGCTCAGTATGTGCAAAGGCCCTGGGGTGGGCCGTTCCTGGCAACACTGAGGCCCTCCCGGGAAGAGGTCCCTCTGGGTAGGTACTTTGCTGTGCTCTGCCACCCCCTCCCATTTCTGGAGTGGGGTGTTTGTGACTCCAGGCCCCACAGTCCCCCACAGAGGCCAAATGTGTCTTGTTTCCTGCTGGAATCTGGTTGAAGTCAGCAAGCTTGATGCGGTGGTAGGACTCACTTTCCAGTGCTCAGCTCAGCATTTGGGGACCACAGGAGGGTGGTGAGCCCTCCCAAGCGCCTGTGGAAGCAGGTGCAGGCCTGCCAGTGTGGTCCAATGCTTGACTAAGAAGGAGTTGGGCCTTGCCCTAAGGGCACTAGGGAGCCATAGCTGGTGCTGGAGCCAGGAAGGGACCAGGCAGGTCTTTGGGAGCCTGAAGGTAGCCGCATGGCTCAGTCGGTCCAGGTCAGCCCCAGGTGCACCCCTTGCCTGCGTAGTGGCTGGGACACTACCAGGCCCCTGTTGTGAGGGCTCGAGCTGTCTCCCCGAGCCCCGCCCCACTCTGACGTCTCCCCTCGGATGTAGCCCCTGTTATCAGCCCTGTCCAGCTGCTGGGGTGGAGACACAGGCACTGGGGCCCTGGGGAGGCCATGGGTGAATCTGGGGTGTGAGTCGGGGTGCTCAGGCCTTGAGGGGGCAGCCTCAGCTCCGGTCTGGCTTCAGAGACGTTGGCTTAGCATAACCACGAGCATCCCTTGAGTGGTCATCGGTTGCCACTCTGTGGGCTGAGGACCTGACTTGCCACGTGCTCTTCCAGCTGCCATCTTTGCAGCCGTGGGAACTTGCACGGTCACTTTGCACCTTTACCGATCTGTATAATGGGCGTCAAAATACTAGTATTTGCCTCCTGCGGTGGTGAGGCAGGTGACACCAAATGAGCCCGACCTGGAGGAAACACTCCACCCAGGGATGCTGCTATGACCAAGAAGGGTGTGGCATGGCTGAGGAGGTGAGCTCCCCGTCACAGGAGGAGACCAAGCAGGTGGCAACTGAGATAAAGGGGGAAATACCTGTCCTGGCCCCTCTTAACTTTGATTGCCCCTCTCAGACCCACAGGCACCTGCGGGGACCATTCCTATCCCCACTTTGCAGACAGTGGGCTGCAGGTCGCTGAGCGAAGTGCCGTAGGTGGAGTTCAAACTTGGGGCTGAGATTCCGGGGCCTGCCCTCTTCACCGCAGCCCCGTGAGGAGTCCGCCTCTGAGTTTCTGGCGTGGCTTGGCCAGAGAGTTCCCGGTGCCTGGTCCTGGGTGGAAGCCTGGCTGTTCCTCTGCCCGTGTGTCCCGCGGGCGGGAACTTGGGCCCTTGTGAGTTCAGTGCTCAGATAACTTTTCATAGATTTTGCCTAAAAGGCTGTCATGCCTGTCCCATGCCAACTTCAGAAGGCCCTGGATGTCCTCAGCCTGTTTACTTTTTTTTTCCTGAGACAGTCTTGTTCTGTCACCCAGGCTGGAGTGCAGTGGTGTCATCAGGGCTCCCTGCAGCCTCCAACTCCTGGGCTCACACAATCCTCCTGCTTCAGCCTCCCGAGTAGTTGGGACTACAGATGCCACCACTACACCCGGCTAATTTTTCCATTTTTTTATAGAGATAGTCTCATTCTTGCTCAGGCTGGTCTTGAACTCCTGGCCTCAACTGATCTTTCCGCCTCAGCCTCCCAAAGTGTTAGGATTACAGGCGTGAGCCACCATGCCCGGCCCTGTTTACTTTTTAATCCAGATGTAACAGCTGTTCTATACAGTGCACAGACTTAAGGCTTGACTCTTTACATATGTATAGACCCTGGCGAGCCCTGACCTCACTCCTACTCCCCTCGACGGCATTTTGTCTTAACTGTCCTAGGGTTTCAAGGCATTTTCTAGTCTTTTGGGAGAGGGGGTTGGGGGTGTGCCTCTGTTCTTAATTTGTGTCTTGGGAACTCTGGACACTAGGAAAGTTTGGGTGGGGATTTGGACTCTGGGTTTAGTCTTAGAATCATGGGACTTTGTTGAAAATTGATTTGGCATTTTTGTTCGGGGTTTTTTTTTTTTTTTGAGACAGAGTCTCACTCTGTCACCCAGGCTGGAGTGCAGTGGCATCATCATAGCTCACTGTAGCCTCCAACTCCTGGGCTCAAGTGATCCTCCGGCCTCAGCCCCCTGAGTAGCTGGGACAACAGATGCCGCCACCATGCCTGGCTACTTTTAAAATTTTTTGTAGAGACGGAGTCTTGCTATGTTGCCCAGGCTGGTCTCGAACTCCTGGCCTCCAGTGGTCCTCTGACCTTGGCCTCCCAAAGTGCTAGACATGAGCGCCTGGTCAGTAGTTATTTCTTGTGCACCTACTGTGTGCCAGGCGTGGCTGTGCATGCGGGGGGGGGTGCAGGGAGTGAGGATGGGGACAGTGAGGTATTGAGTAGGGGGGTCAGGTGCCTCACTGAGGAGGTTTGGACAAAAGTCAAAAGGAGATGAGGCACGCGGGGCTTGGGGAGGGCGCACCAGGCAGTGGCACCCCTGAGGCAGAGGTCTGGACGCAGGAGCGTGCGAGCCGTGCCCCTCTGTGTGTCCGTGGCAGAGTGTGTGTTGGGTGGTTGGGAGGTGGGGGCGGGAGAATCTGGTCCCCCAGACTCCGGAATCCACCGCCACTGTGAGCCCCGTGGTGTGGGGGCTTCTAAGCCTGGGAGAGCTCTGCAGCCTGCAGTCGGGGCTGACCAGGCCGTGTGGCTTCTGCCTGCTGGAAAGTTTCCATCTAAGAGGCCCCCCCACCCCACTTCCTCGGTGGCTGCAGCGCCTGCTGTAATTGTCTGTCCCTTTCTCCAAGTGGCTTGGCCCTTGGGCCCCTGCGGGGGGCCTGGCCGTGCCAGCTAATCCAGCTCCACAATTAATGCCATTTGCTCGAAGCAGGGCAGATTAGCCCTGGGGGGCCACTCCAGCCCCTCTCTGCTCCCGGCTCCTGGGGGATGCTGAGGGGGAGTACTCGGGGGCATGAGGCAGGTTGGCTTGGCCATAGTCTTGCATTTCTGGGGGCGGTTTCCTGGCTTATCTGCTGCTGGGGGTGGGGAGTGCTAGATAAAACCAAGTTTCTTGAATCTCCACTTCCAGAAGAGGCTGGTGTTCAAGTCTTGGAGGCTGTGGGCCTCGTTGGCTGGCAGCTAAAATCTTGACGGCAGTGTTGGGGGGCAGCAGCTTTTCTTGGCCATCCACCTGCTGTGTGACTTTGGGCAAATGTCTTCCCTTCTCCAAGCCTCGATTTACTAATCTGTCCTCACAATAATACTTTAAGGATCTAGGTAGGACTCTACTGCCAAATAGGGAGGTGAGCTCCCCATTGCTAGGGGAAACCAAGCGGGCAGTGGCTACAGTAGGGTTCTGCCTGGAGATCCTGGCCTGTCTTGGCCCTAAGGACCGCCCCCCACCCCGGCCCACAGGCCTCTTCCGGGCTGTCTGCCCACTTTGGCCAGCTCCCAGGTGAAGAGACTTTCGGCTTCCAAGCGGAAGCAACACTTCATCAACCAGGCGGTGAGGAACTCAGACCTCGTGCCCAAGGCCAAGGGGCGGAAGAGCCTCCAGCGCCTGGAAAACAGTGAGCAGGGGTGGGGAGGCACCTCTTGGGCTCCTGGGCCTCAGACAAGAAAGGCATGCATGTCGGTCATATCTGTTGCCCGTTCCGTGAGCCAGGCGCTGAGCCAGGCAGTGCTGGAGACCCAGAGAGGTGTCAGCTCTGGGCCAGGGGAGCAGGTAACAGAGCCAGACACAGGCCGGGCGCGGTGGCTCACGCCTATAATCCTAGCACTCTGGGAGGCCGAGGGGGTCGGATCGTTTGAGCTCAGGAGTTCGAGATCAGCTACTAAAAAAAATATAGAAAGAACAGAGCCAGACACAGACACCCCCCAGACTCTTGGATCAGGGCTGAGCCAGAGGGATCTCTGGGCATTGGAGCTGGGGCTTTAAAGGATGTGTAGGAGTTGGACAAGCCAGGGAGAGGTAGGTGGAGCTCCGGAGGCTGGCTGGTTTCTGTACCTTTGGGGAAAGACAGTTGGAGCATGGAGGTGCAGAGGCTGAGAGGGAATAAAGGGAGGAAAGATGGTCCTTGGGTCCCCATGGAGCCTAGGGGGCTCTCAGTGCCACCCCAGCCCAGAGGCCATCTGTTTCCCTCTAGCCCAGTACCTCTTGACCCTGTTGGAGACAGACGGGGGCCCACCTAGCCTGGAGGACGGGGATCTGGCACACCCTGCAGCACCGGGCATCTTTGCGGAGGCCTGCAACAATGCCACCTACGTGGAGGTGAGGCCCCAGACGCCTCCCCCTGCACAGGACACCTGCCTCCTCCCAGGTTCTGGCTACGTGCTGGCTCCTCCACCAGGGGCACCCCCAGCTTATGATCTCTTGGTGAAGAGACCCCCGTGGGGTCCCCAGACCAGGCCAGAATCCCCACCCGACCCCGGGACCTCCCAGCGCCCGGGATTCATCTCATCACACTCGGGAGTTAATGACACGTGTTGCGGGCGGGGGTCTGTGGCCTGAACCCGTCCCCCTCCTGGTCCCCGGCTTTCCCCACACCCGGCTGGGGGCCCGGCCACAGTGGGTGCCCCGTCAGTGGGCAGAGGTGTCCACAGGAAGTGCCTCCGCGTACTTGGTGGCCTTCTACGTCCATCTGCCGAGCGGGAAAACTGAGGCCCAGAGGTGCAGACGTCAGCCCGGGGTCTCACAGCCTGCCCACCTCTTCCAGGTCTGGAACGACTTCATGAACCGCTCGGGGGAGGAGCAGGAGCGTGTCCTGCGCTACCTGGAGGACGAGGGCAGGACCAAGGCCCGGAGGCGTGGTCCTGGCCGCGGGGAGGACCAGCGGAGAGGTGCGGCCCGGTGGGGCCGGGGTGGGCGGGGCGCCACGGCGTGATGGGGCGGAGCCAGCTGGGTGATGGGGCAGCAGGCTGGGGCCAGGCCAGGGTGTGAAAGAGGGCAGGGCCTGGTGTGGGCGGAGCCTGTGTGATTGGTGGGCGGGGCCCAGGGTATGGATGAGGGTGTGGCCTGGTGTGGGCAGAGCCAACGGGCTGGGGTAGGTGGGGCTGGTGTGTGGGCGGGACCATCAGGCTAGTGTGTGTGGGGTCAGTGCATGGATGTGGTATGCTTGGGTGGGCGGGGCCATCAGGCTAGGGTGGGAGGGACTAGTGTGGGCAGGGTAAGGGTATGGGTGCAGGTGTGCTTGGTGTGTGGGGCCTGCCCTACAGCTGCCGGTTGGGCTCTTGCAGAGGACCCGGCCTACACACCCCGCGAGTGCTTCCAGCGCATCAGTCGGCGTCTGCGAGCCGTGCTCAAGCGGAGCCGCATCCCCATGGTGAGCGCCGGGCCTGTCTCCCTACCTGACTGGCCCTTTTCCACGACACCTGGAGATGGGGTGAGGGGAAACCCGTCACCCAGTGTGGGTCATGTCATGTGAGCCGGAGCAGCTCTCAAAGGGCTCTCCTTTGAGTAGGAGGGACGGGGCCAATGAAGGTGGCCACTGCAGGGTGTGTAGGAGTTCCCCAGGCAGAAGATACACGGCAACGTCTAAACACCTGGTGTCCTTGGGGTAGCCTCAGGTGGTAGATCAGATGTGACAACTGAACACAGGGTCTTGGGTTTATGGAGCCCTGGACAGCCTGGTGGGGGTCCTGCAGGTGCCTGACCGCTGGGCCCCGCTCTCCCACAGGAGACGCTGGAGACCTGGGAGGAGCGGCTGCTCAGGTTCTTCTCCGTGTCCCCCCAGGCCGTGTACACGGCCATGCTGGACAACAGGTGAGCGGGTGGGGCAGGCGCAGAGAGCCCCGCCCCCACGCTGCGCCTGGTAGAGCCTGGCCACTCACCCTAGTCCCTCCACAGCTTCGAGAGGCTCCTGCTTCACGCCGTCTGCCAGTACATGGACCTCATCTCGGCCAGTAAGTGCCTGGTGGCCCCAGGACCCCAGGACCCCAGTTGGCCCATTCAACCCGGGGCACAAGGCCAGGGCCTCCGCTGGTCTGGTTCCCCAGTGGGGAGACTTCTGGCGGAAGTGGGCAGAGTTCCCGGGGTGCGGATAGTGTGGACAGAAGCCCGCTGCGTGTCTGGCCCCACTCTGGGTGACACTGGGGGCACAGTTGGACAACTGGATGCAGATGCCACTCGATCCACATCTCCAGGGCTGGGGGGAGGGGGAGGACCCAGGTAGGGGTGGTGAAGCCAGGCTTCGGGGGAACCTCACAGACTCGGAGATGAGATGCAGACGCCCAGTGTCCAGAGGGTTCACATTTAGCCATAGGGTACCCCCATACCATACATGGGACTTCAGACCAGTCCCCCCTCCTGGGGCCTGTGTCCCCGCTTTTATGATGGGGGGTGTCCTCAGGACACAGTCCCCTAGTGAGGGTCCCCGAAGGGCCTTGCGGGCCCCGGGCACCCCATCTGGTCCTGGCTTCTGCACCTGTCTCTCCGCCTCCTGCCTGGAGTTGCCGAGGAGACGGTTTCCATGGTAACCCCAATGGTTCCTCCTCTGTCTCCCCTGTGGGAGCCACAGCCCCCACGCCCGCCTTTGTTCCTGCAGACTCAGAGTGGAGGGCCTTGGCTGGGGGTGGGGAGCCTCTTTGTGGGGGTAGGGCTGTGGTCTAGACATGGAAGAGAGGGGTCTTAGCAAGCTCGGGGAGTAGGGAAGGGGGTCCCAGGCGGCGGAAGCCCCACCGAAGCAAGGCCTGGAGGTGGGACTGAGTTTGGGTTGGGAGTGTGGCTAGTCTAGGTTTTGGAGCGAGGGAGAGGGACGGGTTGGGGAGTGAGGGGAGGCTGGTGGGGGCTGGACCACCCAGGGCCTTGAAGCTTCAAGGTCACCTCTGCAGGGCAGGGGTGGAGGCTGGATGCTTGGTCAGGCACGTGTGTGAGTGTTCACGTGGCCTTGGGCCTGGGCATCCCGAGGTCCCCATCTGGACAGTGGGATAAGAGGTGGTGAAGATGCAGCGCGCCACGGATCAAAGCCCTCGGGGAGCATTACTTCTTGAGAGCCAGGCCCTGGACCTGCGGGTGGAGTCAGCCAGTCCACAGTGACCCGCTTGGGGTGACCTCTAGCAGGGAAGGGGAGGGGCGAGGGCACTGCCTTCTGGCCACTCCAGGTCCTTGCAGCTCTGTGCACCATGACTTTCTTTTTTTTTTCTGCCCTCCCTCCCCCGTGCACCATGACTCTCATATTCGGTTAATTCTTGTCCCCCCCGTCTCCTCCTGCAGGTGCAGACCTGGAGGGCAGGCGGCAGATGAAAGTCAGCAACCGTCACCTGGACTTTTGGCCGCCGGGGCTGCTCCTGTCTGCCTACCTGGAGCAGCACAGCTGATGGCGACCCCGGTGTCCCCACCTGCCTGCACGCCCAGCGCCAAGACCTCTGCTAAAACATCTTTGATATTTTTAGAATTCGTCCTTGGAAACCTCTTTCCCTTGGGGTGGTCTTTCTTACCTTCGCCCCCTCCTCACCGCTCTGGGCCATCAACACTGGCAGCTGCTGGGACTGTCCAGACCATCCCAGCCGCATAGCGCCACCCTGCTCTGGGACTTCTATTTGGGTGGGGAGACCTGACTGGGCACTTCCATGTTTCTTCTTGGTGTAGCTTTTTTGGCCCAGTGTGAAGCTCGAGTGAGGAGGGAGAGGCTGGGTTTTTATCGCTTTTAATGAATTTGGTGTGATTTGTTGTAGATTTTTAAATTCCCCTTTTGGAGAGAAAAACCAAAAACTCACCCTATCTGATAAATCATGGGACTTGGTCCCAGCCCTTGTTCGACCCCTCCCAGTTTGTAGCTTGAATGTGGCGGTGGGGGTCCCTGGGACCCCGGCTGTCACCCCAGAAGCATCTCGTCTCATGTGTGTACGTGTGCATCCCGCGACCTAGGGCGGAAGCTGTGTTTTAAGGGCTGGTTTTATCCTCTTTTTGTTCTGCGTGTCCTCCCTTGGCCCCCTCCTTTGGCAGCTCTCGGGGTCCCGCCTGCCCTCCACGTCCTTGTCTCTGCCTTCCTCCCCCTCCCTGCATTCTGGGGTGCAGGACTTCCAGCCAGAAGCCTCTGCCCTCAGACTGCCCTGTCCCCTCCCTGTGTCCCCTCCATCCCCCCAGCCTGGCTCTGGCCTGACAGCTCGGGGTGCCCCCATGCTGGTTCCCTGGCCTGGGCCACCGCAGCAGGCCTGGGGGGACCCCCACCCCCTTGCTGTGTGTGGGTAGTTGTGCTTTGGGAGACTGTGGAGGGTTCAATAAATTTCTGGTGCTCTGGCCTGGGGCTGTGTGGGTTTTTCTTGGGGGTGGGGCTGGGGACACAGTAGGTCCTGGTCACTGCGGGCTGCAGGTACACCCCCTGCCCCTCCCTGCCCACTCGCCCCGTCTCGGGTGCCTGGGGTCCAACCCTGGCTCTGCCACTTGCCTGCTGTGTGGCCTTGGACAGTGTCCAGGGGCCGCCTTAACAAAGCACCGCAACCTGGGGGCTGCAAACGGGAATGTCACAGTCCTGGAGGCCAGAAATCCGAAATGCAGGTGCGGGCAGGGCCGTGCTTCCTCCAGCTGCTCTGGGGGCCCCCAGCGTCCCTTGGCTTGTGGCTGCATGGCTGCGGCCTCTGCTTCTGTCTGCCTTGACGTGGCCTTCCTCTCTGTGTCTTTGTCTTCTGTTTGTGTGTGTCTGTGTCCAAACTCCTTTCTGTAAGGACACCAGTCGTGTTGGATGAGGGCCCACCCTGACCACCTCATTTTAACTTGATTACCTGCATAAAGACCGTATTTCTTTACGGTTTCGCCTGTAATCCCAGCACTCTGGGAGGCCGAGGCGGGAGGATCCCTCGAAGTCAGGAGTTCAGTTTGAGACCAGCCTGAGCAAGAGCGAGACCCCGCTAAAAATAGAAAAGTTAGCCAGACCTGGTGGTGGCACCTGTAGTCCCAGCTACTCGGGAGGCTGAGGCAGGAGGATCGCTTGAGCCCAGGAGTTGGAGGTTGCTGTGAGCTAGGCTGACACCATGACACTCTAGCCTGGGCAACAGAGTGAGACTGTCTCAGGAAAAAGAAAAAAAAAAAAGACACTATTTCCAAATAATGGCACAGTCTGAGGTGGAGAAAGGGTTAGGAATTCAATGAATCTCTTTTGGAAAACCTGTTGCAGCCCAGGGCCTCGCTTAACCTGTCAGTGCCTCAGTTTCCCCATGTGAAAGATGGGTCTGCAGGAGGGGCGCATGAGACAGCGATGGCTCTCATTGCATGTCGTTGTTGATGGAAATACGCTTGGCCTCACTGTGTGGACAGTTAAACTGTATCTGACTTGTTTCCATTTACAATAATTTTACCTTCTCCCCCACTCCACTGTTGTTTTGAAAACTCAGACCTCCAGGGGAGGAGCATGAGCCTCTTTCCTTAACATAATTGCTTCTTTCTTTTTTCTTTTTTTTTTTGAGACAGAGCCGGGGTAGAGTGTAACAGTGTGATCACAGCCCACTGCAAAATCCGGCTCCTGGGCTCTGCCTTCCGAGTAGCTGGGACTACGGGCCTGAGCCACCACACCCGGCTAATTTTTTTATTTATAGTAGAGATGGGGTCTCGCTCTTGCTCAGGCTGGTCTCGAACTCCTGGCCTCAAGAAATCCTCCTGTGTCAGCCTCCTCCCAAGTAGCTGGGACTCCAGGCACACACCACCACATCTAGCTAATTTTTAAATTTTTTGTAGAGATGGGGTCTCGCTATGTTGGCCAGGCTGGTCTCAAACTTCCTGAGCTCAAGCGATCCTCCCACCTCGGCCTCCCAAAGTGCTGGGATCACAGATGTGCACCACTGCAGCCAACTCTGGGGCTGTTGTTTTTAAATAAACTTAATTTTAGAACTGTTTTATATTTACAGAATTACTGTAAAAGTGTTGTAGAGCGTTCCCACATCTGTTCCCACACCCGGTTTCTCCTGCGATTAACGGGTTGGCATCTGTCACAGTTAATACCCAGGCGCCCACACTTTATTCAGGGTTTTTGTAATTTTTTGTCATTTCCCCTAATGTTCTGTTTCTGCCCCAAGACCCCACCCAGGATCCCACGTGACATTTCGTGGCCACGTCTCTGCAGGCTCCTCTGGGCTGTGAGGGTTTCTCGGACTTTGTGTTTGCTTTTGATGACCTGCGTAGTTTGAGGAGGGCTGCCCGGGATTTATGTCAGAATATCCCTCAGATGTCTCATCAGTAGACTGGGGTGATGCGTTTTGGAAGGGAGACCACAGAGGTAAAGCGCCATTGTCACCACATCGGGCCTCAAGGGTGCACAGGAGCAACATAACTCATGGCAGCTGAGTTGACCTTGGTCACACGGCGACACAAACGGGCTTCCCCCTTTCTGTGCTTTACCCCGGGGGGTGCGGCCCACAGGGAAGGGCTAGGGGCCTGTGGTCCAGCTCCTTGTGCGTAGAGTATCTACAAAAATCATGAGGTATTCTGCAGGGGACACTTCTCCCTCATTTATCTTTTACTTTTTTCTTTCCTCACCGCTATACAAAGGAGGACCCATGATTTATTTATTCAACCACTTCTATTAATAAGGACTCGTGGATATTTACTCTCTACTGTGGGTTATGATCCAATGTGACTTTCTAGCTCGAATGCTTCCGGCTGTTCCAGCGGGTCCTGTGTCTCTTGGAGGTAGCCTCATCCCTGTGTGGTTTTCATTTTTTGAGCACTTACTATTTTCTGGAGCCCGTGGCGTTTATTAGGGCTCCCCTTAGAAACCAAGCTGTGGGCCCTGGGAGTGCTCTATGCCACCTGAACACACTTTACAAAGTTTTCAAGGCCAGAGCGGGGGACAAAAGGAAGTTCCTTCTGGGAAGGGGCTGCATCTCCCGGTCCCCCGAGGGCAGGGGTGGGCCTCGGGCTGGGCAGTGGGGGCCTGGGGAGCTGTCCCCGCAGCCGGCCGGTCGCTAGGCTGCATCCACGCCCACGCGGGTTCGAGTCCCAACCGTGCAGGGTCCCCCAGCCCAGTTCCCGGCCGCCTGGCCTCCAGGCGCGGGATGCCCCTTGCCTGCCATCTCAGGAAATCTTGGGTTGCCTAAACTGGGGAGGGCCCCTCAGGAATAAAATCAGTTTTTGGAAGAAAAATTAGGGGTGAAGTTTTATTTCTTTTATTGCTTAATTTTTTTTGCAACCCCTAACCCCCACTCCTAGGGGTGCAGTTTGAACCGGAAGGACCCTCAATTAGAATAGGTGCCTCACTTATTGGAGCCTCAGTTTCCCCACCTGTGAACATAAGAAAAAAAAAGCACAGTATGGAATAAGTTTGCACTAGTTTTACAGATTAGGAGTTGGAGAAGCGGGTGTGAAGCTGGAAAATCCCTCAACTGCGTGAGTCACTTCACTTTATCGGAGCCCCTCAGTTTCCCCACCCGGGAACTAATACTAGAAGTGTGAGTCAAAAATATGGAACGCTTCACGAATTTGCGTGTCATCCTTGCGCAGGGGCCATGCTAATCTTCTCTGTATCGTTCCAATTTTAGTATATGTGCTGCCGAAGCGAGCACAAACTAGTATCCCACCCAAGCCCTATTTATAGTGCCCGTTTCAAAATCTTTACAGTAACGGTGAAATTCCTTAACCCGATTTAGTAGCTCATTTTTCGTAATATTAGTGTACCATATAGCGCGCCCCATGTACTTATTAACCGGGGTTGAGAAAGTGTCCGTTGTTCTACCAAATATCGCTGCGGTGGCTGCTGGGAATTACTGGCTCATTACCATGTATATAAATAACCCCGGATGCAGGGGCGGGGCCAGAGCCACTGCAGTCCCAGAAGTCTCTAAGAGCGTGGGCGCGGCGGAGGCGACTCGTTGGTCTCGGGGAAGATGGCAGCGCCGGGGCCTGGGAGTTAGTGCAGTGCGCACCGCGGACCCTCGCTCGGCCTGGCGCACGGTCCAGCAGGTGAGCGGGGACCGCAGGGGTCCGGGGTCCGGGACGGCCGGCCCGCGGATAGCGCATGCGGCCCCCGGGAGTGCGACGCCTGGAAGGCGGGGCCTGCGGGGTCAGTGGGCGGGCTTGGAGCAAAGGGTGCTGGGTACGCGACCCAGAGGGGATGGGGGCGGGGCCTGGAGAGTGTATGGCGTCCCTGGGGCGGGGCCTGGAGAGTGTATGGGGTCTCTGGGACAGGGCCTGGAGAGTGCGTGGGATGCCTGGGATGGAGCCTTAGAGTTTAGGGTGCGGCCGGGTCTCTCGGGGTGAATTGGGGGCGGGGTCTGGAAGGCAAAGGGAGTCGAAGAAGGCGGGTAAAGACTTTAACGGGCTTGTGGGCAGACCTTGAGGAAGCTGGGGGGCGCGGGTAGGTAATTAAGAAAAATGGAGTTAATGGTAATTCATTCTCCCTGAGCTTTTGTCACGGTGAAGGGAAACGTCTGCACCGAGGAAATCTTCACCGCTCTTGGTGCTGGCTGTCACCCTGGGCCCCGGGGCTCCCCTCCCCGCATATCTGTCCGGTCCTGGCCCAAGGCAGCTCCGCCCTCTTGCATATCCCAGGCTGCTCCTTCAGAAGAGGCCCTAACAGTTTCCCCTGCAGTGAGCTGTGATCGTGCCACTGCTCCCCAGCCTGGGTGACAGAGCAAGACCCCATATCTAAAAAGCATAAACATTTTCTTTTTAAAGATAAAAAAGCTGGCCCTGGGTGGTGGCCCACCTTTGTGGTCCCAGCTGCTCTGGAGGCTGAGGCAGGAGGATCACCTGAACTTGGTTCAAGGCTGCAGTGAGCTATCATTATGCTATAGTGGCGCCACCTTGCTGCAGCCTGGGTGACAGCGCAAGACCCTGTCTCTTTAAAAAAAAAAATTTCTACAAGGCCTTTTAAAGTTGAAAAAAAACCTGTAAATCAGTACATGAGGTTATACATTGGTGTGGCCCAAAAATGTGGGTATCTTGAAGTAGAAGTGGGAGCTTGTCGGTTTTAGGTGGGTTCGCAGATTCTTTGATTAGCAATTGATTGGTTAGGAAGCCAGGCCTCGTCTTGGACAGGAGCAATAAGTGGCTTTCCAGACCCCTTGGGTGAAATTCAGAGCAAAGATCAAGCCTCAGTTTCCCCATATCTGTATTTTCCACCTGGTGGGGATTTCTGAAAAATGACTCGAGGACATAGATTGAGATGTTATCTCTTACTTTCCACAGGGCAGCCCTCACCAACCTTTTTGGCACCAGGGGCCAGTTTCGTAGAAGACAATTTTACCACTGACCTGTTGAGGGGGGTGGTTTTGGGATGATTCAAGCGCGTCACATTTATCCTGCAGTCAGTCCTCTCTGCTAAGGATAATCTGCATTTGCAGCCGCCCCCCAGCGCTGGCATCACCGCCTCAGCTCACCTGCAGCTCACCTCCTGCTGTGCGGCCCGGCCCTAACAGGCCACGGACAGGTACCTGTTGGGCGGGGGTTGAGGACGGCAGCCATAGGGCACTAAAA